CGAACTACTAAACGTCCTGCAAAAAATGAAAGAACAGATCAAACAAGACGGGGTGCACTATCTGGCAATACCACCAATCAGCGAAAACAGAAGGGGCATCAAACGAGGCACAATCGAGAGAATGATCTACGACGTCTTCAAACATGAAAAAATAAGCATTCATATATGCGACTGGAACCCCGCAAAAAACACTGCAAACAACAGGCCAGACAAAGAGCCACGCCAGACAGAGAAAACGGAAACCACAGAATGGTTTGGGAATATGATCCTGGAGACTCAAGAAAAGGTCACGAAAGTAACAGCAGAGGAGGACTATACAATTGCACCAGACGAAGACAGATTAATAGAACTAGGAATACAACCAGCCCCACCAGATGAAGGATCATTCGAATTCGTGTGGAACGACGCGTTTCTCACAAAAAATAAACTGATCCCAGAGACACAGATACACTCTGACGGACAAAAATTATAGATGAAACTAAGATCATATAACATCCAACAAGTCCGCATATACAAGTATTCCGCCATAGGGCACCTACGACCAATAAGCAAGGAAGTCACAAGCCTCTGGCACTTCAATGTAACGGAAAAAGCAGATCACGACTTCGAAAACATATGGGACGAGGAAGAAAAAAATCAACTAAAGGAGATTTTGCTCGAGTATAGTGATGTATTTGCTAAGTCACCAAAATATATGGGAAAAACTGACCTCACAAAACACGTTATAGAAATCGAAGCAGCCAATCCAGTAAAGAGTAGACCATACCGAGTGTCACAAAAGGAACGTATGATAATTGACGAACAAATCAACGAAATGCTGAAACACAACGTCATAAGACCTTGCCACTCACCCTGGGCCAGCCCAGTGGTACTAGTAAAGAAGAAGGACGGCTCCACACGATTCTGCGCCGATTACAGAAAAATTAACGCTGTAACAAAAAAATCAAACTACCCCTTACCGCAAATTGATGACATATTGACATATTTAGGAGAGGCAAAATATTTCAGCACATTGGATATGTTTTCAGGATACTGGCAAGTACCGGTAGAGGAGCAGTCAAAACAATATACAGCTTTCGTAGCTCAAGGACATGGTTCATATGAATTCAACGTCTTAAGCTTCGGACTATGCAACGCCCCCGCAACTTTTCAAGAACTAGCGGACAGAGTATTCTGGGACATGAAATGGAAGAAGGTGTTAATATACCTAGACGATATTATCATATTTTCGGACACTCTAGAAAGCCACCTAAAGAAGTTGAGGAAAGTCTTCCAAAGACTTCGAGAAGCAAACCTAACCTTAAAACCAAGCAAATGCAAATACCTGCAGGAAGAAATTAAAATTTTGGGGTTCACGGTGAACAGCAAAGGAATCAAGCCAGACGAGGACAAAATAAAGTGTATTAAAGACTTCCCACGCCCGAAGAAGGTTAAAGATGTGCAAAGCTTTCTGGGGCTTTGCAATTTTTATAGGAAATTCATCAAGGATTTTTCAATAATCGCGAAGCCACTGCACGAAACAACAAAAAAAAACAGTTACAAATGGGGGCCCGACCAAGAAAGAGCATTTACCGACCTAAAGGAAAAATTGATATCTGCACCAGTTTTACAACATTTCAATCCCAACATAGGGTGCACAATACACACCGACGCATCGATCAGTGGCATTGGGGCCGTCCTGCTACAAGAAACGACAAAGGCAGCATCCACCCGGTGGCATACGTGAGCCGGAGCCTTTCAAAAGCAGAACAGAACTATTCAATAAGTGAACTAGAACTACTAGCTGCAGTATGGAGCTTGGGTTACCTACGGCACCTAGTATACGGGAGGCATATTAAAATAGTGACCGACCACCACGCACTATGCTGGATTGATAACATAAAAGAACAATCCAGAAGACTGGCAAGATGGGCATTGAAATTGGCAGAATTCGACTACACAGTGGAGTATAAAAAGGGTACCAGCCATAGGGACGCGGACTGCCTATCCAGATACCCGGTATTAGACCCTCCGCTAGAAGTAGCTGGCGACACAGTAGGCGAAATTCCAACATACGCTACACGAAGCCAAAATGTCGCCGAATTACAGGATAAAGAAGAAGGCATACGATGCCTGAAAGACGCCATAGAAAATCCAGACAACAATAATATCCCGATAGGAACAATGAGGAGATCAAAAAATTTTCGACTGATTAACGGCATCCTGTATAAAGCCAATAATGCCCAAAAAGGCCTGGACAAGGTATTGGTAGTCCCTAGAGAAATGGTGGAAGAAGTAATGTGGGAATTACATGCAGCCCCAACAAGTGGGCACTTGGGTTTGTCAAAGACGCTGCAAAAAATACAAGAGAGGTATTATTGGGAAAATATGAATAAAGACATAGACAAATATGTAAAGGGGTGCCAGGACTGCCAAGCCAGAAAAGGACAAGCATATAGGAAGCCAGCAGGCCTACTACAACCTATCGAGGTCGGAAAAATTTTCGAAAGAATAGGCATAGACCTACTAGGGCCATTCAGGAGAAGCAATAAAGGGAATACTATGATCGTAGTGGTGACAGAATACGCCACGAGGTTCGCCATTACTGCCGCACTCCCAAGCGGTAAAGCAGGACCCGTCGCCAGGTTCTTGCTAGAAAAAGTACTCCTAAGCCATGGAATGCCTAAAACGATTCTCAGCGACAGAGGTAAAGTGTTTCAATCGGAATTGATTCAAGAACTACTTAAGATAATGGGGGTAAGAAGCAATTTCACTACGGCCTACCATCCATGCTGCAATGGGCTCACGGAAAGGTTAAATAAAACCTTAGCAGACATGCTGTCCATGTACTGCAACACTAAACAAACCGACTGGTGCTCATACCTCCCATTCGTAACATTCGCATACAACACCGCCGTACAAGAAACAACACATTTTAGTCCATTCATGCTAGTATATGCCAGAAACCCGGTACTCCCAAGCGAAGCAGCACTAATAGACGACGACGTAAAAACTGACGCTTTAGAAATTAGGGAGAAAGCCCTGGCAATGAGGGCAATGGCAGTGAGTAACATCACAAAAAGACAAAAGAAGGATAAACTGAGATATGATGAGGGTCACCGAGAGCTAGAATTCACACCAGGAGATAAAGTTAAAATCTTTATCCCAATAAGAAAAGTTGGACGCAGTGAAAAATTGCTATTAAGATGGTTTGGGCCCTTCGAGATAATAAAGAAAACCGGTAACGTGGATTACGAGGTGAGAAAAATAGGCGCAAGAAATAAAACTACGGATATCGTTCATGTGGGCCGAATACTACCCTACAATGACCCCTGGACAAAGGGATCGCCTAGAAACGAAGACGATGTAGAAATAAACGAAGAAGAATAAACAAGGTTAAATGACCTGAAAGACCGGAGGCCTCAGAGGGAAAAACACGCACACACTCGCACGCAGGAGGGTATCTAATAACATTTCTTGTTCCAGGCTAATCACAGCAGCATCTCGAGGAGTGGGGGGCCAGAAGGTGGAAGTGTCAGCAGGGGCCACCTGGAGAGAGCTACCAGATACCATTACGTACGAGGGGACAATTCCGCTTACTTACAAAGTCGACTGGATCCACGAGCCACCTCCACAAGAGACTCCAAGATTCCAATGCCTGAAAAAAGATAATATTAACGAAGATAGTTGCAAAGCAATGAAATACTTAGAAGAGATAGCAGTAGCCATCGACAACGAAATCATCTTGTTTACCAACAGTTGGGATCCTGCCCACCTCCGAGTAATGGACATCCAGCGAAGAAAAAGGGCACTGTCACTATCATTTATAGCGGATGGTCTAAACTACTGTTGTGGCGTAGCAACCCAAGAAAAATTGGACTCCATGGTTATGACGTCAGAGGAGTTGAAGATTCGGATGAATAAAATCGGCCAATCTCTAGAGCAAACATTAGGCTCAATCGGGCAAGGGTCGAAAAAACTGGAAGAGGTACAACGTGCCAACAACAGAGCCCTGAAAATAACAGAAAATAGAATAAAACTCCTAGAAAACTATACGAATACAATAAATAACGCGGTAGTGGCCGAAAGTATAGAACAACGAAACCTATTAGTAGCATTCATGAGGAGCAATACAGACACAGCAAAAAAAATTATCCGACTTACCAGATCCATAAAAAACCAAGGGGTAGTTCAGAACTGCCGCCAAAAGCAAATCCCAGCATCCATCATAGAACCCCACTTACTCAGAGCCGATCTTGAAGACCTACAGCCCATCCTAGCAGGGCAGGATCAAGAATTGACCATATCAGTCCAAGACTTATCAACGTATTACAGGCTACCCATAAGCGAATGTAGTTTCTCGACGAACATCCTAACTATACACATCAAAATTCCTATAAGGCAGAAGGGCCATAATTGGCGGCTATTCGAGTTGATAACAAGTCCTTATTCATGGGAGGGACAAACCTGCAAAATAGGGCACAATACACTTTACATGGCCATATCAGAAAATGAGTATGCTCAAAAAATTAGACAAATAACAGGTAATGGGCTGCACTTATGTAAGCCGTACCACAACAAACTATGCTACCTACCCCGTTTTTCTGGAGATCCATCTCAAGGAACAACCTGTGCTAGGAAGCTATTTCAGGGAGCAACGGTAGAGGAACTAGCAGAGCACTGCCCATTAAGGTGTCATGGGTCATCCCTGATGATCATCACAGAGATTGGATTGGAAGAATACACTCTGACACATCCAAAAGAAGGAACCACGATCAAATGCCCAAAAGCCACTGTACACCTACAAAAAAACATAATAGAATTACCAGGGGCAATTAAACTATCCTTACCTTGCAATTGTGAGGTACTCCTTAACGAAGAATTACTGATCCCACAAAGGTTCCCTTGTTCCAAATCTCTAAAAAACAACGTCTCCATAACACACGTACCACCAGCAACATGGACCACATTGAAAACGTTTATCCTAAATCCTACAGCCAGTACTCTCCTGCCAACGTTCCAAAACATGCAGGAATGCCTAAACCATAACTGGTCCCTCACGATACCTCACTTGAATCTAACTTCAAGTGACAAACTGCTAGCTGAAATCAGAGCGAATCTTAAAGATACAGCAAGCCAAGGCCATGACACATATGTGTGGCATACGGAGAAACACAGCATAATGTTCATATGGAATATTATACTATCACTATTGGTATCATACCTGATGTTCCATCGACCAACAGCCATGATGCAAGGATTGATGCTACCCCCAGTCATGGGACAAATGCCCCAAGACAAAAAATTGGAACACGATGCAGTATTTTACATAACCTGGGCGGTATTTACAGTGTTTCTACTATATCTAATAAGCAGATTAATAGCCAAGTACTGGGAAAAATACAAAAACTCACCTACAACCAACCATAATTCACCTCCCGGAAGAACCTTCATCCTCGAAATCCCGGAAGTAGCCTCACTGGAAAATATGTCAGCCAACGCCCCTATACAATGTAAATTATCAGAAACACAGCAACAAAGCACAACCAAAATGACGCCACACTGCCACGGTACAACGAACGAACAACCAGAGTGCAACATCAACAAAAAACACCGGCCTGCAAAATGACACCTAGAGGATATCATATACCCAAAGATAAGTGCTATTAAATTATTATTAAATTATATTTTAGTATAGGTAATTAAGTATAGAGGTAGGTCAGTTTTAGCAGAACAAAGAAACACAGAATTGAATATTTTTTTATTATTTTTATTTTTATTACTTATTTTTCAAAAATATATAAAAATTATGGGGCGCCTTAGGGATAGACGTCCCGAAATAAAAACAAGACGGCCACACACCGCACCCATCTTAATGAAAACCTGCCCAGGGGGAAGACGAGGCGGCCAACAATCATCGGCATGTTGTCGAACCAATAATATCTCGGGATGGTACCCCTGAAAAAATATAATAACAAAAATCTATTTGGAATAAGCAGAGGCTGTGGCTGTACATACCCTCGGCAGGTCGGGATACCGTCTCCTCAGGATAACCATAACACGCCGCCTAAGGCGTGTTTGATAGCGGCCTGGATCTATTGAAAAAAAAAAAAAAAAAAAAATTATAAATAAATAAAAATAATATATATATGAATATATAAAAGAGAAAGTACAAGGAAATGAAATATGTAGGTATAAATAATTTTTTTGGGCTACTTACATTCCATATTTAACTATTCAAACTAATACTCACCAAAGGGGTAATTAACAATTTAGTCAATTAAGCATAACATAATAAATAAATTCACACATACAGGAGGTAAGAAATTTACTAACACTTTGATCTTATTGTTACAGGGGCCGAAAAGAAAGAAAAAAAAAAAAAAGAGGGAAAGAAATATTCCCGAACAAGCAGCTAGGAGCCAACAGAAGGGGTACTGAGATACCAAATTCTTTCCATATATAATGTATATATTGTTTTAACTAGTACTTTTATAGAATAAGTAAGATTATTGTAAAGGTATGGTCACATGATTCTTAGCGTTGGGGGCCAACGCCTTCACAGGAGGGGCATATGTCAACTAATGGTCTATAAATAAAAACCATCCTGTATATCAAAAATAATTAAAACTAACTAGAACACGATTTATCGACAGTCAGCGGTTTAAGCAGGTCAACGCGTAAATTATGTTTACACGCCATGAATATAAAAACCCGATACAACCATGGTATCGGCATCCATTCGGGTCTTTCTCTTCTCAGGGTCTCCTTACCCCAGGAAGCATTAACCCCTTCGGATCACTCTCTCCTCAGGGTCACCTTACCCAAGGGAGCAGTAGCTACATTCCTCTTCAGGGTCACCTTACCCCAGAGAGTCTTACCCTCCAGCAGGGTAGCGTTGCCTATACGTGCAGAACCCGTATTCCTACATAGAGCCCCAGCACAAGAGTCATGTGGTACACCTACGTAGTGCCCCTTTGGTAATGTACCTATTGGACGACAATATACACTATTCCCGTTGTAGTTGTGTGTTTTCCTGAAGAGCAAACCCTAACCTCAGGTCTAACCCTCACGAGCCGAAAGGGCCTTGTGTGACAATATTTTAAAATGTATTGTATAATATTATAGCTCTGTTCCAATATACAGTGTGTCCCACTTTTCATGAATACACCCCGATATCTCAGTTATTAATAATGCGATTTTATTCAAATTTTGGAGGTGATTGTATGTTAGAAAAATGAACTATTTGACATAGTAAACATTTTTGTTTACCATTGGCGTGCGATGTTGGGGGTGTGAAAAGGTATTGTTTTTTTGGGAAAAAGATATTAGGGCTTAATTTAGATAATTTGTTGCATCAGATTAAGAATCAGCATCCCCAAAAACCCCTTAATTCATATTTTTCAAAGGATGATTTTAGCAAAAAAAAATTAATTTATTTTAATTTATTTTTTCTAAAAGGCTGTTTCTTTCTAATTAGGGGGATGCTATATTGAAAATACAATATTCTAAAATAATGTCATTAGTAATTTAGTAATCACAATTAGAAATAAACAATTTATTAGAAAAAATTAATTAAAATATCTATTATTTTTTTTTGTAAAATCAGCTTTTGTCATTTTGAAAATATGAATTACGAGGTTTTTGCGATGCTGAATTTTAATCTGATACAAAAAATTATCTAAAATAAGCCCTAATATTTTTATCCCAAAAATACAACCCCTTTTTACCACCCAACACCGCACGCCAATGGTAAATAAATTTTTTTACTATGTCAAATAGTTCATTTTTCTAACATATAATCTTCACCAAAATGTGAATAAAATCGCATTATTAATAACTGAGATATCGGGGTGTATTCATGAAAAGCGGGACACACTGTATATGAGAACCGTTCCACAACCAGTAATTAATTTCCAGTTGCCCACCTATTTTGAATTGATCAGCTGGAAATTACCGTTCTAGAACGGTTCTCATGTCTGTTGGAACACAGCTTATTTTTAGAAAATCTAGAGAGTATATATTGCAAGACTTAGAAAGAATGAAGCAGAGGCAATAAACAGTCTTCAATTTTAATTGCCTTGCAAGAAATTTCATCAATGGTAAAAGTTTTAACCCCATCAATAAAGCCTGCTATTTTTCCACAACTAATTCTGAGAGAATCGCAAGGTTTTGTATAAAAGCTTTTTAAGGGATTAAATAACTTACATTCGAAAAATGTGCTATTTTGTTTTTCATGAAAATTCAAAAACTGTACTGCAAAACCAGACTTCAAAAAAGCAAAAAAATTATTAGGTTCTGCAACTGAAAAACTAAAATTGGGACTATTGAATTCTTTAAAAAGGGTTGAAATGTCTGAATCTATATGTTTGAGGCCCATTGAATTCAGCAGACGCTCAGAAAATCCTTTTTGTGTTGGAGAATAATGACTGATAAATTCATAATAGCGAATAATATACTGTTCAAGCGGATGGTTGCTAGTTTTCAAAGTTTTTTTAATTTTGAACATATAGTTTTCAAATTGAAAACAACTAAAAGTATCTAGTGGACCATGACGCTTTACATCTTCGACTAGATGCATTAAATTATGCACATTATGACCAACATGCTCATCCCCATAAATTTCTCCAAATCTATTCACAGAGTAAAGTTTCTTAGCATAGGTTAAAAATTCAGTCTTTGAACTTATCGTTGGAGATATAAGGATTCGGATGGCAATATGCAAAGACAGAAAATGTGACCAAAGGGGTTCTTTAAAAATACTTTTTAAGATGACTGGTCCATAATACAGCAAAAACTGCCTGAATTCGGTGGCTTTCCAACGGTCTAATTCTTTCAAAGTTCTAGGAAGTCTAGAAAATTATTTCACACAGCAAGCTCTGTGGTGGTTCCACGTATTATAAGAACCTTTTATAATTTACTTTTGTATCGTGGAAAAAAAAATACGTATATGGTGGTGGTGTTGGCAACAGGGCATCGAGCCGGGCGGTATGGGTATCCAAAGGAATGGCGCAACAGCCGAGGTCAGTACTAGCGGATATATCTCACACCTAATCCTGTACCGACGCATGCGCAAAAACCTTGATCGTAATTCCGCCCGCGAATTCATATTCAAATGTTAGTTGTTTTGTGGAAAACGTGGATTGGATGATTCAGTATCAATAATCTATCTACCTTTATAATAGAAAATTGACCTGTACAATATCTAACAATCTATAAAGTCCATATGATATATTCTAAACGTTTTGGTCTACTATTTTAAAAACAAACCAAGAAAACCTCATCGATAAATTTATTATTTTTAACATCTTTATATGGGTACAACATTACATATAGGGTAGGTAATTAATATCGTAAAAAACCTGAAGTTTAATTATTTATAATACTTTATTGAAGAAGTATACACATCGTAAGGTACTTTAATTTACAATAATAAACTAAATTTGGCATGGCATATAAACAAAACTCTCTTCTCTTTTCTGCTGAACAAAAAAGGTCACTAAAGTAAAAACCAAAGTAATAACCGAAGTAAAAACATACTTTAATATGCTATTTATTTTTTTCAAAATTATTTTTCCATGACCATGTTCAAAATAGTTATATCTTCATCAATTTGAGATGAGGTTCTTGATGCTTTTTCTTTTTTCTTCTTCTTCTTCTTCTTCTGCAATGAGGGAAGGTTCCTGCGACATTGCTGTGGTATTTTCCTATTGGCTGGATATTTACCTTTGGAATTAAAACAGATTTTGACTTTTGTAAGGCGTCGACCCCTGCATTAATTGTTGATAAATTTTTTGTAATATATAAAATTTGATCAAAATCTTGTGCTTCATTTAACTTTTCTGTGAGTTTATTAATTTCTTCCATGGCAAGTTTTTTGTTAGAGATAACAGCATCTTTTTGTTTATTACCAGCAGAAAGTTGAAATGAAATAACATCAAACTCATTATTATTATCATCAGAATTTTCGGCATTACTCTCATTACAAAAATCTGGTTTTGCTTTTAAAAACATATTGCAAATAATATGGATATGCTTGCACATATTAAATTGTATTTGATAGTCATGACATGTGCATGACATACCATGTAGGCACATGTTACACTCATTGCAAAAAAAATTGCACTTACAATTTTTACCTTCCTCTAATAGTTTAATAGAGTAATATTCCAGCAATGCTTGATTTTCTTTATTATTTTTGGAGGACTCAATTTGCCACTGGCTATCTGGGACTTCTTCAAAAACTTGTACAGGACCAGTATTCGATACTTCAACAGCTACTTTGTGTCTTTTCCTCAAAGTGTTCAACTTGTATGGTATTTTGTTTCTTGACAAAGAGACCAACCTCTTCATAAATTTCATTCTCAAACATTCAACGACGTTACTAACACTTAAATCTAGGCGACTCTGACATTTTCCTTTAATTCTTGAATTATATTTTATTTCCTGGTGCCACTTTTCAAGACTCATATTTGTATTACGATGTAGGCCTTTTCTAAAGCAATGGGCCCATTCCTCCTTCCTCTTAACATAATATGTTGTAAAATATTTAAAGTATTTTAGGGTATCACTATCTAACAATAAATAATCAAGAAATGATGACAATAACCTAGTAAATGTAACTTCATCTAATTCATTGATAAGAGCATACAGTCTTTGTTTCACCTCTTTCTTTTTTTCATTCTGATGAATTTTGGCCAAGTTATCAAAGAGACTTCTTTTTACATGCCAGTCGCATAGCAGTTTTCGTGGGAAACAATCATATACTTTTATAAAGGAATTGTAAAACACATTACAATCATCTGTCATGAACACATTTGGTTTTATATCAGAAACTCTTTGTTTTAACAGAGTAAAAAAGTATTCATATACTTGTTCAGTTTGAGTTATAGACCACATAAATGCCACAGGAAATCCTTCATAATCATTATCCAAAACCATTAATGTACTTAGTTGAATATTATAACAATTGGTTCCATGAGTGGCATCTATCATCAAGATGTTATTGCCATATTTTTTTAGCAACTCTTCTTGTGCTTTGTTGAAAAATATCAAGAAAAAATTGTTTTTAAGGATAATAGCTTGTTCGTCTTCAACTCCATATGGCTTGTAACAAAGAATAGGGTTTTCTGAAGATTCCTAAAATATAGAAAAACATAATGTTGTTAGTAGTAAAGTAAAAACGCTGTAGCTATATACTTACTTGAAACTTTTTTATCAGAATATCTATACTCTTTGCATCGTCACTATCAAAAATTTCTTCAAATTGAACGTTGTATGCCTTTTTTACATTATTTATGTCTTTGTTAGTAGTATAGGATAGTCTAGTATCAGGATCAAAATTTGAAGCAATATCCTTCAAAATTCTATGATTAGGCACTCCTTGCAACAATTTTCCAGCAATATTTTGACGGTCAGATGTTGTTAGCCTTAATTTTCCTACTTCGTTATCGTGACCAATATGGGTTAGGATATGCTTAACTTTTACCCTTTGCGTTTCCAGTGAAATTTTTGCTGCAATTTGAGATGGACAGGTACCATTTATCTTGTTACTACCTTTCATTTTTAATTCTCTTTGCCTTTTTTCATTTTTCAAATTGGGCTTATAAAATCCTGATCTGTGACAGTAATAGTATATACATTTTTGATTATCAGTGATTTTTGAGCGAACCATGACATAATGGCATTTGTGTTTATTTTCAAATAATGTTTTCCATTTCAAAAAATCTTCGGTGGTATTGAAGTCCATAAAAGCCTTTTCTATTTCTCTGTCATGTTGTTCTTCAACATGAGTAATAATCTGTGCACTTGAATAACTTTTATATGAACATAACGGGCAACTGTGATTCCCACCCCCATGAGAAAGTTTTGATTTTTTGCTATCATGAATGTTTTTCATGTGACGATTAATATTTTGTTTATTGCTACATTTTGTCCCACACAACGAGCAAACAAATAAAATTGTCCTGAAAACAATTTAAATTGTAAATTCTAATTTTTAGCCAAATCAGAGACGGAGAAAATCTTGCCTAATACAAATTTCATCGAGAATAATACATACCTATTTGTTAGAATCTGTGAATTATTATTATCGTCAATATCTTGAGCTTTGGAATCACTAGTATTATTCATTTGTTTTTAAATCAATGATTATCATAGGTAATCAATAATTATCATCACAGAGACAGAGACAAAGATTACCAAAAAAACAATAAAAATATCCATAACATAACCTGATTTTATTTGACAGTAGACAGGGATTAGGTGTGAGATGTAGCCGCGAGTGAGGTCAGTCGGGCAAGGGTGAACCAAGAGGAAGGTGCGCTGCTCAGTTGCTATCGCCCGCCCGATTTATTTACGTAGATTCAACTTTTTTTTTATGTACCGGAGAATATTAAATTAGTTAAAAAGTCGACACAGTCTTTGATTTTCTTCTGGAACTCGACCCAAGCTCGGCGAGCTATCGCATTGGCGCTCAACTTGCGGCCGGAAGACTGAGACGTGTGTGATTTGGAGCTGGTTTTGAAATTGAATAGGAATAATTAATTGTTCCTATAGTACAGTAGCAGTTCAAGGTTCAAGCACATAATGATCAAAGCCCAAAGGTAAGATCGTTGCATTGTTGTTATTTTGCTTGCTGCGTGGCGACCTACCAGAATTTGTCCGATTGCGGTGTTGCCATCGCTGCAGCGTTCAGCTGGAAGGAAGAAAAAAAAAAAAAAGACCTTTTGTTTTACTTATTCAAGTGAAGTGAGTAGGTAGCTCAAAGACAAGTTAACGAATAATTTTTTTTTATTGTGAAAAAAAAAAACACAGCATCTTGGTAGATAATATCTGTTTTGCAATTTGTAATTGAAATGCCGCCGAAACGTAATAAAAATAAGCGGCGGTCGGATGATTTTTATGAGGGTTCTAGTGAAAATGCTGATGGTTTACAGAACAATTGTGCGAGTGGGATAGACATGGGAAAATTGGGGAATGTTTTAGGACAATTAGCGGCCGGTATTTCGAGCATACAGCTCGCGTTAGAAAATTTAAATAATAAAAATAATACTGCTGAAAGCGGCGCTGCAGCTATGCAGCAATTTGTAAATGTAGATAACAATAAAACAAAACAAGAACCGGCGATGACGTCAGTCCCTTATAGATCGTATATAATCAATTTCAAAGAATTGGGGGGTAGCAATATTTTATTTTTTCCTGATGGGAAATTGCACCCTAAAGCTTTTTTAAAAAAAATTAATAAAATTTTCAGGGAAGCTGGAGTGCCTCATCAGCATAAACTGGGCTTGGTACTGCCGTGTTTAAAAGGTGCGGCAGCCGTCAGCCGATTGGGTGTGCATCAAGGAAAGTAGTTTTGTGTCTTTTAACGATTTTGAAAAGGCATTTATAGATAGATTCTGGGGGGTGGATAAACAAAGGGATTTATTTTTGACGTTAAGTTACGGAAAATTCGATGTTGGGAAGCGTTCGGAATACTTTTTAGATTTATTTAACCAAGCGAGTTTTCTTTCAACGCCGATCCCGGAAGAAAAATTAATTTTGCTTTTGAGCAAACATTTTTCTCCTGAGATTCAAAGGGGAATTATCACCTTGGGGTTGAAATCCTTTGACGAAATTGATGAATACCTTAGGAGTATCGATGCGACTTATACTTTAGATGGGGCAACTCATCAAGAAAATCGGTCTCGTAATAATCCTCAGAATCCAGCCAATCGAGGTGATAATAACCCACATTGGCGTAGAAATAATGCAGAAGACAAAAATGTCCGACATATGCATGCAACAAAATTCAATGAAGATTTTGATTTTTCGAGTGACTCTGATTCGGAATCCTTTGAGAAGGATGATGCGGGACTGATTACGCACAAGGCTCCCATTATAGACGCATTAATAGGCGATTTTAGTGTCATTATTTTGATAGATAGCGGTAGTGAAGTAACAGCGATTTCAGAAACGTTTTATAAAAATATTGCGAAAAATTTCAAAATTCCGATTTTACCTGTTAGTAACTTGGCTATAAAGGTTGCGATTGGTGGCAAACAACAGCGTATTAAATCTCAACTACTTTTACCAATTAATATACCGGAGGTGAACGCGAGATTTGATGTAAAATGTTTAGTTATTCCAGGGTTGAATTGTAATATAGTTTTCGGTTTCGATTGGCTAAAAGAATTTCAAGTTAAATTTGATTTTAAGAAAGGAATACTAATATTTTCAATCGGTGACAGGGAATTTATGATTGAATGCAATAAAAACGTCAATCCAAAATAAAGTATCGATGTAAGTTTGTGTAGCAATATTACAGCAGTTTCCATGTCTAATATTAGTATAGCCAACCATCGATACAGCGATGCCGATATGGAAGCTGTTGTTAATGCGGCCAACGCGGGTGTTGACGATAAACAAAAATTGCTGAGCCTTATTAGGGAATATATTAATATTTTTTCTGAATGTCCAGGTAGAGTGAAATCTTACGTACATTGTGTTGAAATGAACGATGACACTCCATTCCAGTGTGTCAATTATCCTATACCTTTTATTTACAGGGATCAGGTCAGATCTCAAATAAGAGAGCTGTTAGAATGGGGGGTTATTTCTAAGGAAAAGACGAACTATATTTCCCCTTTGGTGACCGTAAAGAAAAAGGACGGATCCGTGCGCATATGTGTGGATGCTCGCGCCCTGAATGCGAAAATGAAAAAAGATTTTATTAATCCACCCAATGAGTTATTATTAAGTTTTAGAGACGGGATGGTAGTCAGCACTTTGGACCTGACCGCTTCGTATTGGCAGATTCCTATTCACGAGGAACACTCTAAATACGTCGGTTTTATTTTTGAATATGAAACTTATACTTTTAAACGATTGCCATTTGGTCTTTCAACGTCCATGGCGAGCCTAATTAGATGTCTTAACGGAGTTTTAGGGCCAGAATCTAGAGAATATACAGCAGTATACGTTGATGATCTGTTAGTATTTTCGAAGAGCGTAGACGAGCACATTGAGCATTTGAAACAAATTTTCGAAAAATTCCGAAGGGAGGGCATAACAGTAAAACTTCGAAAATGTCAATTCTTGCGCGATAAAGTAGTATTTTTGGGACATATAATTTCAAGTAAGGGTGTAGCGATGGATCCTAGTGGAATAGAAGCGATTAAGAATTTTCCAAGTCCGCGGAACATACGCGAACTTCGAGGATTCTTAGGATTGGTGAATTATGAACAACGGTTTTGTGCGAAATACTCAGAACGAACTGTACCCCTGTTACGCCTTTTACAGAAACATGAAAAGTGGTCATGGGGCGAAGAGGAAAAACGAGCTTTTGCGGAAGTTAAACAGGGTTACTTGGAGGCTACAATGGTGGTGCACCCAAACTTCAGAAAAACATTTTATGTCCAGTGCGATAGTTCAGATTTTGCGATTGGGGGTTGTCTGTTCCAAAAAGCTCAGGGTGAAACGCGTGAAGTAATAGCGTATACGAGCACAACACTGAAGGGAGCTCAATTAAGATATACGACTACCGAAAAGGAGTGCATGGCTCTGGTGCACTGCTTGAGACAATGGCGCACGATATTGTTGGGTCAACAGTTAGTTGTCTTAACAGACCACAAGTCGCTCTGCTTCTTGTTGACTTGTAAGCTCAAATCAGCTAGGCTTTCCAGATGGATCTTGGTGTTACAGGAATTTAGCTTCGAAGTTGTACATTGCCCGGAAACCGAGAATAAAATTGCAGACACTTTGTCTAGGAATCCCCCTCATAGAGATTTGGCAATAGGCCCTGAAAAATCCTCTAATATTCATATCATGGTAATGACTTTAAAAGACACCTATAAGGGTTTAAAAAATAATTTCAAATCGATGCGACAAGATCAGCTAGGAGACTGCTGGCTCTATGAGAAAATATATTTTTTGGAAAATTGTACCAAACAAGCTATTGTGTTTTCAGAAAAGCAATATAGGGTGTACAGTTGGTTTATAGTATATGAGGGTTTACTTTTTAAACGGGGAGACCATTTGAATCAAGGTTTCAAATTATGCGTACCTAAATCTCAAGTTAATGATCTTGTAATGGCACACCACCTAGGAATGGGTCATTTTGGTAGGGCCAAGGTTTATAACCATATGAAAGATAGATTTTATTGGCCAAGAATGCAACGTCATACCGGGCAAATTGTCGCAGCTTGCGACCTGTGCTGTGCCAAAAGGCTAAAGTATCGAAGACAAGTCAAGGATGGCTTCATTCAGTTTTGCCGGAAAAACCGGGGGATTTAGTATGTATAGATCTCATTGGCCCGTTACCACCATCAAGAGGTGGTGCGACGCAGCTGCTAGTACTGGTTGACGCTTTCACCAAATTTGTCAAGGTGTACGCACTGAAACGGGCTACGGCGAGAGCTATTGTTAACAAAATTCTGAATGATTACATTCCCGATGTTGGAAAACCTACTTGCATATTAAGCGATAATGGGACACAGTTCAGGGGAAAATATTGGAATGAGAGGCTAACACAGGCAGGAATTTTAATTAAATATACTTCAGTTTATTTCCCGGAGGGTAATATGACCGAACGTTATAATAAGGAAATTGGTCGGTTATTAAGATCCTATTGTTTCGATAAACATACACGTTGGGCGTATCTGGCCAGTTTCGTGGAAGAGTGCTTGAATAATGCGATCAATGAGGCAACTGGTTTTTCACCTAAACATTTGCAATTCGGAGAAAAAGCGTATCAACCGATTGAGACCTTTATAAAGTTTCCACCGGATACGCAAAAATCAGATATTGGGGGAAAAAAGATAATTTTACTGGCGCGAGATAGGCTCCGATCCCGAGCGGAACGGCGAGCGATTAAACACAATTCTGGGGTGAATCCTACTTTTTTTAGGGAAGGTGATGAGGTCTTGGTTAGGTGCCACACTCAATCGTCTGCTGATGACCGTACTATCAAAAAGTTTTTCCTACTTTATGCTGGCCCTTTTTATGTCGCGAGGCAGGCCGGACCAAATTCTTATGTCCTTAGGGATTCTGATGGCATCGAGGTTTCTAAACAAAATGTTATTAATCTTAAGTCATATAAAAGACCCCCACAAATTGAATAGTGTTGCCATATTTTAGGGTATATATTCGTTTATTATTAATATTATTATTTTTCTTGGGATGTACTCATTTTTAGTTTCTTTTTGTTTGTTTTGACACTGAGCTCTGTTGTTATCAGATTAAGGATGTCGAGAAGAATTTATCATTATGTTAAATTAAATCCATTGACGTAGGTCATTAGATTGAATTGGGGGGTCATGTGGTGGTTCCACGTATTATTAGAACCTTTTATAATTTACTTTTGTATCGTGGAAAAACAATACGTATATGGTGGTGGTGTTGTTGGCAACAGGGCATCGAGCCAGGCGGACAAGCGTCTGCGGATCACACGGGGGCAACGCGACGAATACAGGGGCCATAACGTTTTTGCTGTTTGTTTTTTGACGCCTCCGCCTCCTTGTCCTGAATCCTGATGAATTTGATTGTTATTCTAGGATTATTTTGCAATTTCCATTTCGTAAAATATCGATAATATTTAACTAAAAATGTTAGAAAGACTGAAGAGAATTAGTTTTTTTGGGATGAGGTATCAAGCCGGGTACAAAAAAAGAATTAATGTCAGGTGTAGAACCTTGGTGGAACAAATTTAATAATCAATTAATAATACATGGCCTTTCGCCCTTTACAGTTGATTTGTAGGCTGTATCACAACCACTTTGTTTTAACCTACCTATATTTGTTTCTATTTCAATATAGGTAATTAGGTATATTATTTTTTATCTTTTCTTAATTTTGAAAATGCCTTAAGCTAAGAAGAAACGTTAAGAAAAAAATTATATCTTATTTTCAAGAAACCAATGGATAAAATAAATAAAACATCTTCTCTTCTTTCATCTTTTTAGTAACTTTATTTTGAGATGCAAACAGAAAATTTCAATGTTTATGTTTCTATACATTAACACATAAAGGTTCTAAAAAATATTCTATTAATCAGGTAATCATTAAAAGTAGCAGAAAGAAAACATAAATAATTATGTAAAAATCACATACCTAATCTTGAAACTGTCATAAATTTATTTATATTAGGTAGGTAACTAGTTATATAACTAGTATAGAAATGAGGAATTTCAAATATCCAGACTATACTACTTTTGGTCTGAGCAAATCATTTTTAGTCCCAATTCCTGTCGTTCAGGGTCAGATGGGTTATTTAAACGGTTAGTATTTTTCTTTTTTGCTTTTTTTGTGGAAAAAAACCTACCCTGTGTTTTAATTTTTTTATTGGCTGGTTCTGATGATTGAGACGGATTTAGTTGTAATGACGACATGCTACCCGCAGTTGAAAGTGTCTTGATAATATGTTCAAGTGGAGCAATTTGATGCAAACAAGCTGTGAGCTGTTGCTCATTTTCAATTGTTGAAGCTATGGCCGAAAATGTATTTATTAATTCCCCAATTTTCTTGTTTCTATCCCAGACATTGTTCGTGGTTTTACTTATCTCTTTGATAATGATTTCTTCTTCATGAGAACTTCTGTTTTGATTTATGTCACCTTCATTATAGAGCACACTGTTTGAGATATCATTTGAGCCTTCATTTTGTAGATATGTGCAAACAGTATGAACATGTTTACACATATTCCATTTGATAGAGTAATCTATGCAAGAGCAACTAAATGAATGAATACATGTTTCACATTCCGTGCAACGCAATTGGCATTTACAGGTATTATCACATCTTATTACTATGTACTTAAATATCTTTATTTTTAAAAGATGAAACATTCCAGCGATTTTCGAATTCAAGGTCCTCAACTACTGTCAGGGGCTCGGTTAGTGATTTTTGATGACGATCTCTTAAACATTTCAATTTTGTAGTCACCTTACCCCTGTTCATAATGACAAGACGATCAAATAATTTATCACGTATGAATTTCATTAGCATGTGGATACTCTTATCTAGTCGTTTTACTTTTTTGCCATCAAAGTAAAAGTGTTTAATAATTTTATGCATATTTTCGAGATTCATGTTAGTATTAACACCTGCATTTTTTCTAATATGCCCAAGTCGACGAATTATTTTTGAACGTCTCAAAATATTTGGCAAATTCTTTAGTATCAGGGTCTGCATATAGACTTTCCATAAAAGCATTACACATTAGGTTGAAAGTGTTTATATCTGTTTCAAACATTAATACTTTAATTTTTTTATAAACTAATGCCTGTTTTTCTTTAGTATTTATTTTATTTAAGTTTTTTCGCCACGCCCTATCAACATGCCAGCTACAATATAACCTTGTAGTAACTGGAGACATGATAGCAGACCAAGCATTATAAAAGGTGTCATCCATATCTGACATAAAAGTTCGTGGTTTCAATAATTTCTCCAAAGAGGCGCTAATCACTTTGAAAAATATTTCCATTATTTGAGTGTCTGACCTATTCGAAAATAGAAAAGAACAGGGAAATCCCTGTCTCACGTCATCAAGGACCATCAACGTAAACAATTGAAAATCATAAGCATTTAACCCATGAGTTCCGTCGATGCAAATGCAGTCATCTCCAAATTTCTGTAATATTTCTAACTGAGCATCATTCATAATGATAAGTAAGAAATCATTACTTTGAAGCTGGGGAAAATTTTCCAATACCATACCTTGTGGTTTATACAGCCTTACGGTATTTGAAGTTGACCGCATATGCGAAACCCAAGCATCTACACTAAGACAATCATTTTTGTGCAAAACTGCTTCATGATTTAATTTGTATGAATCCACAATATTCCATAAATCTTTTCGTGTTAATAGATGAATACGTTTGAAATCATTATTTGTGATAGAATCACGAATATCATTTAAAATTTCTTGAAATGGAACTTTACTTGCCAACTTTTGAGCTACTTCTTTTTTCTCTTTTTCCGAGACATTTAAGCGTCCTAAATCCATTCCATGTCCAATATGAGTATTAATGTAGTTTATTTTAACACACTGATCAGTCACCTTTTCACAAATACGGGATGTAATTCTAGCTGGACAATGGGAATTTATCTTATTCGAGCCCTGTATTTTAAGATGCCTCAAATTTTTGCTCTTGGAACGGAAATTTCCATCTCGGTGACAAATAAAATAAATAATTATTGCACCATTTTTCCTCTTAACAGTTCCATGTTTTATGAACTGTGCTCTGGTATCTTGCTCCAAGTTTCTTTTCCACTCAAAAAATTCTTCCTTATTGTCAAATGTTAAATTCTTGGGGTCTAAGTTGTTTCCGTGAACATTTTTGTAATGTAAAACAATAATGTCTTTGCTGTCGGCAATAAATTCACAGTTTAATGGGCACCTTATGGACTTCATTATTTTTGCAGGCGTATTTTTGTTGTGAATTGTGCTATCCATGTGTTTTTACAGGTGAGACTTTCTCGAAAACTCCCTCTTGCAGACAGCGCATGTTTTTTCCACAAGTTTCTCATGTTTCCACCTAACATGAGCAATTAACGCCGATTTTTTTGCAAGAGTTTGGCCGCAAATCTCACAAATACAGGGTCCCATTTTGTGAAATAAGTAGTCTAAAAAAATAAATATAAATCAGCGCATTGAAGTTCAAGAGTGTTTTTAATTGCCAATTTACCATCTACATATATGCATTTACTCCTCAATCAATCGTTTTTCTTGATAACAATACAAACTATCAAATTATATTAATAATTTTGTGTCTAAAAATAAATAAAGAGACACGGTAAACAAAAACGCTAACGAACCGCGTCGCGCCAAATTTTAAAAGTTCCGTTCGTACACTATCGACCATATTCGTGGCGTTGCCTCCGTTTGATCCGCAGACGCTTGTGCCAGGCGGTATAGGTATCCAAAGGAACGGCGCAACAGCCGAGGTCAGTTGGGCAAGGGTGAACCAAGAGGAAGGTGCGCTGCTCAGTTGCTATCGCCCGCCCGATTTATTTACGTAGATTCGACTTTTTTTTATGTACCGGAGAATATTAAATTAGTTAAAAAGTCGACACAGTCTTTGATTTTCTTCTGGAACTCGACCCGAGCTCGGCGAGCTATCGCAGCTCTTACTTGCTCCAAGTTACTATTTAAAGTTTCGATATTCTTTTTCAAAAGGCGAACCCCTTGTCGCCCCGATAACCAAAATGACAATAATCTTTTTGTGACCCCCAAACAAACCAAGTGCATGTAATCGAGTGGCACATCATTAACTAAATCTATATTTAATTGAGTTAGGATAGTGTCAGCTTTGTGATATTTTTCATCTACCATGTTAACAAATTCCTTATGGGTTCTTAAAGCAACATTTGTATTTAGGTATGCCATTCTATGATTTGTGTATTCACCCATAACTTTACACTTTGTACAACCAGAACATGAATTATGTATGGCCTTTAACATTAAGTACATACGCTTTAGCAGGAGCAAAACATAGAATTTTTGATATTTTAACTTGAAAATTTGTGGAATTTAAATTTACTCCTGTTGTTTTTATTGCCTGAAATTCCTCTACGAAAATATTTAAAAAATTATTTGAATTTTCTGGTTTGGTTTTACCATGGTATATGCCTATGGGAAAGGGAACACTGTATTCAAGGTTATCAAGGCATGCCAAAATTGGCCAAATTTGACTTGAACTGCTTTTAGTTAGAGGTAAGCCATCAATGTTCACAGATACTTTCAAAATGTTTCCATCCACCAAATAGTTTTCTGAATTTTTTTCTCTTTTCAAGGACTCTAAAATTCCTTGTTTCAAACCAAAATGGTAGTATTGCCCTGGATCAATTAAAGTAATGTCCTTCTTTAAAGACTTGTCAAATTTAAGTAGAGTCCTGCAATCTTTTGGAATTCCTTCAAAATCTGAATGAGTCTTGACTGCCCAAGAAGTTAACGATTTCAAAAACTCTTTACTTTTAATTGTATTGGAAATATTAGGCGTTTGAGGTAAACTCTCAGGCGAGCTCTCAGGTAAACTTGAACTTGGAACATTATAATTATTATTGGTGGTTGGAAAAATATCAGTTTCACTATTAAATATTGTCAAGATCAGTACCATTGTTAGTTAAGTTATTGTTACTGTTAGTACTATAATCTACTTGCGAAGCTGCAATATTAATCAAGTTAGTGTTATCATTCCCTCTGTCATTGCCAACTAAATTATAATTGATTCAACCGCTTTTATGACTTGGATTGATAGGATGCATTTCCTTAGAGGCTTTGCTTATTGGAGTAGTAGTAGCATTATTACTAACGAGTCTCCGAACATGTCTTTTAGAATATGGAATGGAATATGGCATATATAGACGCTGTAAATAAATAAAAAACGCATTTTGAAATGACATTAGGAAAAATGCTCATAAATAGGTATGGAAAAAGGCTATTAGGAAAAAACAGCAAGAGAATTTTTTGTCTCTATTTTACTGTTTCTAGTTCATTGGATTTCGGGTATGGACTAGGTATACCTTATACGGTATAAGCCTGGGTTTGTGGATAGTTACTTAGAATAATAACAATGACAATCAACAAATATTTCGATAAATAAGTAAATTACCACGAGTTGTGGGGCTCGAGGATTGACTCGAGGTGGTATACCTACCTAACCTATATTATACTAATCTTGGTAGGTACTTACCTTATGATAATCCATTTTGTTGAACTTGATAATTTAACACATAACAGACAAAATAATCCTGCAGCATCAATCAATAGAATAATAATAAAATGAACAAGAGCCACGGCCACGCCACGACGCCGACGCCACAGAGAAAGGAAATGGTTTTTCCCGGTTTTTTTAATTTTAGGGGTTATGTTCTTGCTTGGTGGTGGGTGGCGTCGTGAATAGTAACGGCATCGGTACGTTCTTGTTTTAAATTATAGAACATCGATGTTGCCAAATTTACTTAACATTTAAGGGCCTTTTTTATCAGTATTTTTCTTCGCCATTATTATTTCGTTGCATTTGAACAGTTTCAGGTATGTTAACAAATCATGTTATTTGAATAAACAAGATGTTTCCGTATCCTAAACGTTTAGTACACAACGTAACAAAAAAATTTAACTAGCAACATGCTTGCGATGTTTGAAACAGAACGTTTGTCAAACTGACATAAATTTTACATTACTAACAAGTTCCGTTACTAATGTATCAATCACGTGATCAAAATAAGCAAGTGTACGATGTTATTTTTTTAACCCTCCATTAGGCGCGCGAGTTTTTATAACATCATTAGTCGCGCTATATCACAGAGATACATGTACTAAATCATTGATAAAAAAATTGAACCTGATGAATTTCGGTTTTACAATTTCTATGAATTTATTCGTGTACTCAACAATCACTTTTCACTGAAAAAGAGATTCCAGAAGTTGGATTCTATTTTCGCAGTCGTTGCAGTTCGGCCAACAACGCCCGGCAGCTTTACCATAATATTATGTGGTCTCTTCCGTCAGCTTGGGAGGAATTTTGTCTCATGGAGTGTCATCTTCACCTAAGATGCACAGGTTCTTGTACGATAATATTTATATGAAAAAAATACCAAGAAAACAGTTACAATTGAGGAGCACCGATGATAACAAGAAAAGTCGCGTTGTATCAGTCAGGTACAAAGCCGAGCGCACCCCTAGTTTTTTGGAAATTCCGAATTTCCAAGTAGAGGTACGACCATGTAATTTTGGGAAAGTAATTAGTATAGGGTACCTAAGGACTACTAAAAGCCATAATATTATAGGGTTTGTCCTTTTTGATTTATTTGCAAAAATAATTAGTGGTGGAAAACTATCGAGTTTTTGCACTATCGATAGTATCGATAGTTTTTTCAAATACTATCGATGCTATAGATAGTACTATCGAATATAATGAAACAAAAAAAAAAAAACATTTTCAACTGAACAGGCAACATTCCATTGCATTTTATTGCAAAACTAAAACTTCAGTTTCAAACTAAACTATATGTAGGAACTATACTATAACTAAGTAATCAAAAATATTAGAAATATTAAGTAGGTAAGTACCTAGAAAACGTATAAATAAAATCAGTTTTTTGTTTCAATTGCAAAAATGTTAAAACAAAGACAAAACCCAAAACATAACATTCATTCTAAGGCAAAATGTAATATTAGCAAAATCAAACAAGACAAATATTCTGTAAATAAACAATATACCTATTTATAATAGTAATAACAATAATAATAATCAGTCAAGCTCACGAAGCCACAGATTTTGATTTATAAAGGTGCGTCTGCTTTAAGGCTTGCCCTACGGTCACTGACAATGAGTCCGGTTTTAGAAAAGATTCGTTCCGAGGGAACAGAAGTTGCTGGTACACACATATACTTTCTACTCATAATCTTCATCCCTTCTAAATCCTGTTTCTCCCAATAATTAATAGGGTTAATGTTTCTTGGTAGATTTGGTTTTTCCAAATACTGTCTTATAGCAATGATGGAATCCGATGTAGTGGTGCTTAAATCTTTGTGGTGTTTGATCCTATCTTCCAAAAAAAATAACAAATTCTCACTATCAGTAGTAGCAGTAGTAGTGTTTTCACAGTTTTCAGTTGGTTCGATGTTCTCAAGATTTTCCTTTAATTTATTACAAATTTGGCCAAATTCACCCTGAATTGCATTGCAAGCCTGCTGTGCGTTATCTACAGACCGAAATGCCAGTTTTTTGAAACGTGGATCTAATATTGTGCTCATCCTAGGAACTGTTCTTGACTCATATTTAAATATTCTTTGTTCAATTGAAGTTTTAAGTTTATTGTAAAGATCTTTGGAATCCTCATTTTCAAGTTTTTGACCTGCGCCAACTATTCTCTTGCGCAATCCTAGTACCATTGGAATTATTAGTGAAGATGTCACCTAATTTTCGCCTGAAATTTCATTTGTAAGTGTTTGAGAAGGTTTTAGTAATTCTACTGCATCTTTCAAAGTGTTTAAATCATTTGCATCCAGAGGCTTTGGACCACTGGGAAATTTTAGCAGAGTGACCATTACATAGTCCCAAAGCAAAATTAACCTTTCTATCATTAAAAAAGTACTATTCCACCTTGTAGGCACATCCTGAATAAATTTTTTTTGAACCTTCTCGCCTCTGCTTTTTTGTTCTAGCAGTAGTTTTTCTGTTGCCTGTGGACTCCGTTTGAAGTGTCCAACAATGTTTCTGCAACTTTGTAACAAATTGCTTAGTTTAGAATCTTTTAAACCATCATTAACTGTCAAATTCAAAGTATGCGCCAAGCAAGGTAAGTTTCGAATTTGCAAAAGGTTACAAGCATTCACCATATTGCTTGCATTGTCTGTAACAATGCATGTAACTTTATGTTGCAAATTCCAGCGCGTTATTATATTTTCCAATACTACTCTGATATTTTCTGCTGTATGAGAGCCTGTTACTTGACTAGCTTCTAAAACTGCTGAATGTAACGTATTCTGAAATACAAAGTGATAAGTAACGCTTATATATGATTCAGCAGCTCTTGATGTTCAAAGATCAGTAGTTAAAGCAACATGGTTAACTTCATTTAGTGATAATATATCTTGCAGTTTTTTGAATAATGTGTTATATGTTTCATTGATTAGCTTATACCTTAATGTAGTTTTTGAAGGAAGCCTGTACCTCGAATCAGCAGCTTTCATCAATGCAATAAAACTTGGTTCATTCACTATTGAAAATGGATGTAAACCCCCAGCTACAAATGATACCAACTTTCTGTCTAGTTCTTGTTTTTTTTTGTTAGAAGCCTCATACATTTTATATTTTTGGATAAATGAGGGGAGTGTCTGGAGTTTTCTCTTCTTAATCGGGGAAACTTCTTCCTGTGGATCGCTCTCAGTTTCTGTGTGTAATATTGATTTATGCTTTCGTTTCATGTGATCCATCATATTTGATGTATTACCACATGCAGCGTATTCCTTTTTACAAATATTACAGGTAACAAAGTTTTTACCATCTGTATGTTTTGTAAAATACTGCCAAACTTCACTCGAACGCAAACGCTTTCCAGATGAAACAGCAGATCCTCGAGCAGACCTAAAAACCAATATATTTATAAAGCATGACAAACATAGGTATCTATAATTAGAAAATACCAACCTTTTAGAAGATGTTGAGGTTCCATCATCACTATCTTCAATATTGTGAGATAGGGTTTTAGCAGCAGACCCAGGCCTGAAAACAGATTCATAGAGTACGAGACAAATATAGTATTTCAAATCAAAAATACCAACCTTTTAGATGTTGGGGCTCCATCATCACTATCTTCAATATTTCGAGATAGGGTATTGGCAGCAGACCTAGAAACATATATTTATAGAGTGGAACGCAAATGTAATAATCGAAAATATCAACCTTTCAGAAGATGTTGAGAGGGCGTTAAGACTCCGTCATTATCAGTTGTATCTTGGCATTTTTCCGTTGGCGTTTTTTCCTTTACTTTAAAAAATTCTGTAATTTCAATTGTAGTTTTTTTAGCATTTGCATTTCTTAATTGGTTCTGCCTGGAATGAAAACATTAAATTACATGAAATAAGAAATTGTTTATTGTTTTTCATTGTGTTTTTCACATACCTTTCAGCCCAAGGCAATTCAGCGTCTTGTAATTCTTCAGTCTCTACCTCTATGGTCTCCATGTCTTTTTCTTTTAATTTACATTTTGTACCTCTATGTTTTGTACAGCTGTGCACAAAAAACTCACGAGCACGAAACTCAAAACCAAACCAAAACCCTCAAATCCAAAACAAAAAACAAAACAAAACAAAACTTGTGAGGTTAGGTTAGAGGTTAAGGATACAAATCGTGACGTGTGTATTAGTATTGTCTTCTTTTTTCCTTGATCTAAAAAAAAAACATTTCATAAAAATAGTATTCTAAACCGATAGTTAATCGATAGTTCCAAAAACTATCGATTATTTTCGATAGCACAAAACTATCGATACTATCGATAGCCCTACGATAGTTTTCCACCACTAAAAATAATAGGCATGTATCTCTCAGATACACGCGCGACTAATGGAAGGTTAAACGTTGTAGAAAGTCGTTATTGTTTCATGAATGGA